AGCTTCCCTGCAAGGCACCGCTCCACCAGGCCTGGGTGGGGTCTCTCCTGCCCCCTGGGCCTTGGGCAGTACCTCTGCCACCAGGAGCCCCGGGCTTCCGGAGCCAGGAGTGGCCACCTCTGGTCAGAGTTGGCCCTCTTGGTCGTGGCCCTCCACCCACTGATCACCCCCACCCCCAAGGTCCCAGTCACCACCAGCACTGCCAGAGGACTGTGGGCCTCGGGTCAACAAACAACTATGGGGGGCTGGGGGAGCAAATCCAGGAAATGGCCTGCTGGGCATGCCTGCTGCCCGCCCAGCCCTGGGGGCCCACCCCCCCCAACATAGCCCGGCTTCCTAGCCCTTTTGGCCCCTTGGACGTGGCTCATCTGGCTTAGGTGTGAAGATGTCCCAAAGCCCTGGGCCCACTGTGGCTGCAGCCAGAAGGTGGGGTGAGGGAAACGAGAGATTTGAATAATGGGAGAAAGTTATTATGTCTTCGTGTGAGCTGGAGCCCGGCCGCCGTCCCCCATGGGTGTGATAACTAGGGACGTCTTACGTTTCCCTGCTCGGAGCCAGGGAGTGCTGACAATACCCTCATTGTTCCTGGCTGGGCATTGTCATCGGATGACGGCCCCTAAGACACAGCCACTGAGCCCGGGATTAGCACGCACCGCAGCACCGTGGACATTCACAGGAAAGACAAAAGCTGAGGCTGGATTAGAAAGTGAACTCGGAGGAGGGAAATGGCCACTTGCAACGGATGGTTTTGCACAAATGTCTGGTGACAGCTCCACCCACAGCTGGATAGAGCTGGGCTGGGGAGCCCGGGTCCCAGAAGCTTGGAGGCTGCCACAGACTGGAGTTTCTTTGCCTGGGGCAGGTAGAAGGCTGGTTCCTAGGGCCGCACTGTGCTGGGCACACCTCCAGAGTGTACCTCCCGGGTAAGAGCATGCACAGGACCCAGGCCCTGCCCTAAAAGCCAGGCACCCTTCTAGGAGATCTGCCCCTGCCTTGGAGTTAGTGAGCAGCTACCTGTGGGGGGGGGCTCCCCAAGCAGCTGGGCATGACGAGGTCAGCTGGTCCCAGTGCATCCTGAGATTCCCTTGTAGAAGATGAGGCCTTTGCAAAGAACTGTCTTGGTGAGGGATGGAAGATGCTGTCCACAGATGCCTGCCGCACCCCCAGATCCTCGTGTTCCACTGCTAGGCAGCCCCCCCATCCCGTGCCTCTGAAGGGATGGAGGCCGCCTCTGAGTCAGAGAGGGGTGGGCAAGGGGCCCAGGCCTGGCCTCCTGGGGAAGGATCCTGGGCTTGCCTGCCGAGCACGGGGCTGCCCGTGTGGGCTGGTTTCTGCCACAGCCCCATGCTCTTCTCTCCTGTGTTGCTCAGCAGCACCGGCCTGCATTCGCACGCACGTCCCTCTCTACAGAAGCGGATGAGCTCTGTTATACTTGAACTTGGGGCTCCGCCCTGCCTTACAGCCCTGGAGCGCAAGATGGGAAACCCCGAGCCACCTTGTGTCCCGCCACGTTTGGAGGAGGAGGCATGGAGGGGCTGCAGGTTCGAATTCAGGAGAGATTTCCCCTGGTCAGGCGCCTCGCTGCTCAGGGCAGGAGCAGCCCTGGAACGTGACGGGCAATTCCAGGTTTGTCCATGGACTTGGGCTGAGCCTGGAGCCACCTCCTGTGGCCCCCTGGAGTCCTCATGGACTTGCGGCTGCACTTGGCTCCTCTTCAGGGCCCAGGGGTGGACTCCTGCGACCTTGCCTGACCTTGATCAAATGAAGTAACCTTGGACAGTGTGACTGCTGAGGCAGGCACGGCCAACCTTTCCTCTTCCTCCCCCACGAACTCCTCCAGTCCAGAAGGAGCCTGTCCTCAACACCCCGGCCATTCTCCCAGGGGGTCCCTGCCGTGGTGTATGGGTAGAGAAATGGAGTCCAGCAGCTGCTGGAGCCGGCCAGCAAGGTCTGGACAGTTCAAGGTCAGACAGAAGCTTTCTCCTTGTGAGGGCCAGCCCAGCCCCACACCCCAAATCTTTTACCTTAGCACCCCTCAGACTGAAGCAGGGTCAGACTGCCGATGAGAAGAATGAACCCACAGCTCCTTCCAGTCCCCGCCATCGCTGGCTGACCCCTTCTAAGCCTCCCACTCCCCACAGAAGCCCGACTCTGAAGCCAGCTTCGTTATGATGCTCCGCCTAGCCACTGCTTGGGGAGTCTGCCTTCTCTCTATTCCCCACAGCTCTCTAAGATGCAGTACTGATTGAAGGAGACCCACAGGTCAGAGAAACACCACTGCCACCATAAACATCGCCACCACCACCACGATCACCACCATCACCATCATCACCACCACCACGATCACCACCATCACTATCATCACCACCACCACCACGATCACCACCATCACCATCACCACCACCACGATCACCACCACCATCACCATCACCACCACCACCACGATCACCACCACCATCACTATCATCACCACCACCACCACGATCACCACCACCATCACTATCATCACCACCACCACGATCACCACCATCACTATCATCACCACCACCACCATCACTATCATCACCACCACCACCACGATCACCACCATCACTATCATCACCACCACCACCACGATCACCACCACCATCACCATCACCACCACCACCACGATCACCACCACCATCACCATCACCACCACCACCACGATCACCACCACCACCACGATCACCGACACCATCACTATCATCACCACCACCACGATCACCACCACCATCATCATCACCACCACCACCACGATCACCACCATCACCACCATCACCACCACCACGACCACCACCATCACTATCATCACCACCACCACCATCACCGACACTATCACTATCATCACCACCACCACCATGATCACCACGACCATCACTATCACCACCACCACCACGATCACCACCATCACCATCATCACCACCACCACGATCACCACCATCACCATCATCACCACCACCACGATCACCACCATCACTATCATCACCACCACCATCACTATCACCACCACCACCACGATCACCGACACCATCACTATCACCACCACCACCATCACCATCACCACCACCACCTCGATTACCACCACCATCACCATCACCACCACCACCTCGATTACCATCACCACCACCACGATCACCACCACCATCACTATCATCACCACCACCATCACCATCACCACCACCACCTCGATTACCATCACCACCACCACGATCACCACCACCATCACTATCATCACCACCACCTCGATTACTACCACCATCACTATCATCACCACCACCACAATCACCGACACTATCACCATCATCACCACCACCACGATCACCACCACCATCACTATCATCACCACCACCATCACTATCATCACCACCACCACGATCACCGACACCATCACCATCATCACCACCACCACCTCGATTACCACCACCATCACTATCATCACCACCACCATCACTATCATCACCACCACCACGATCACCGACACCATCACTATCATCACCACCACCATCACTATCATCACCACCACCACAATCACAGCCACCACCATGATCACCACCACCATCACCATCATCACCACCACCACGATCACCACCACCATCACCATCATCACCACCACCACGATCACCACCATCACCATCATCACCACCACCACGATCAGCACCATCACCATCATCACCACCACCACGATCAGCACCATCACCATCATCACCACCACCACGATCACCACCATCACCATCATCACCACCACCACGATCACTGTCACCACCACTATCACCATCACCATCATCACCACTACCACTGTCGCTGTTGCTACCACAGCACCTTCCACCTCCTCACTGTTGGGTGGGCCACGGGTTGCATCCCACTGTCTCAGGTGGGGCTGAAGCAGTATAGCCTTGATAGGTGTCACATGATCCCATTGGGTCTCATAGCAGGGTGGAGGATGGGCACTGGGATGGGTTATGGTGGACATCCGCTCAACTTCTCTTTCTGCTAAAACCAGGGAAGCGGGGGATGGATTCTCCACTGGCTAGGCTTGAGGAGGTAAGGTCTTCCCCACAAGGCATTTTGCCAGGCTAAATCCTTTGGTCTGATTTTCCCCCTTCCCTTTCCCCCTTTTTCCTTCTCCCTACATCCCTCATTCCCTCCTCTCCCATCAGCCTGGGGTAGATACCACTGTAGTATGAGTGGCAGACACCACTCAGAGCGTGTTTCTTCCGGTCTTAACAGTACGTTCTTCTGCATGTGTGCGTACAAATGTGCCATCCATACACAAATGTCCAGGCCAGTGTCACTGTTTTCATCCCCCAAACAAAGGCGGAGGGAAAGAGGCGGATCATTTGGGAAGAGCGCTGTACTTTCTGGTTCTCTTCCAGTAATATTTGGGAAGAACTCCTTAGGACCTATGTTAGAAATATTCCCTTCACGTATAACTCACTCAGCAGTTAGTTTGGAAGCTGTGAACTGCATTTCCAGTAGATTCTAGAAACATCGCAATCACCCGAGAGAAGTGTGGAGAGAGCCCTGACCTGCCAGCTCCAGGCACACTCCCTGTGCCCAGGATGCCAGTGTTGTCCTGCGGCCTGCCAGGACACAGCAGAGGGGAGCAGCATTCTCTGCCCCCACTGACCAGGGCCCCAGCATGGCCAGAGGTCCTGGCTTGAAATGCTGATTCCAGGCCTAGGCCTAAGGCCCAGGGCTCTACCTTCAGAACACATGGTGGGTAGAGGCAGGCCCTGGGAGCCTGGCCCAGGGCTCAGGGCTCTCCAGGCTGGGAAAGGAAGCTGGTGTGTGTGGATAGAACCACAAAACCAGCTCCCCTCTTCCCGGTCAGAAACAATCCTGTCGCCCGCAACCAAGCAAGCCACACAGAGCCAGACGTGCCATGGTTTTGTGCTTTATTGAACACCCAGCTGAAGCTGCGGTTCATCTCACGTCCCTCAGGTCCCCCCCGTGAGCCACGCTGCGGCCCCCCCGCTCCTTCAGAAGCACCTCCTCTGCACCACGGACGTCCCAAACTCCTTGAAGTCCGAGGCGGTGACCCACATCTGCTTGAAGCTGCTCAGAGAGGTGACAATGGAAGCCCCAATCCACGTAGAGAACCAGCGGTCGGGGGGCGCGGTGATCTTGATGGGGGTCCCTTTGGCCGCCAGCTGCTCCAGCTCCCTCAGCAGCCGGTCGTCCAGGCCCTGGAACAGCGTGCTGCCCCCGGACAGTACAATCTCCCCAAAGAGCGTCTTCTGAATGTCAGCATCACACTTCGTGATGCTGGTGGACACCATCTTGGCCAGCCCCGGGTTCTGGATGCCCAGGTGCTCAGGTGAGAAGAGGGCCTCAGGCGCCTGGTACAGCTGGTCCCCGATGTAGATGATGTTCCCATCGGGAAGCTTGTACTCCCTCAGCACCTCCTCCGCCCGCCGGGAAATCTCCTTTTCAGGCTCCAGGGCCACATAGCACAGCTTCTCCTTGATGTCATCAACCAAGGTCTTGTCCAGCGAGCACGGGAAGGTCCGCCCACTGGCCAGGAGGAGCCGAGTGAGGGACTCCGTGATGTCCTTGCCCCCCACGTAGAGTTTGCTGACCGCATGAGGCAGGGAGTAGCCCTCAAAGATGGGGACGGTGCAGGTGACCCCGTCCCCACTGTCCACCACCAGGCCTGTGACGCAGGCAGAGGCGTAGAGCGCCAGCACAGCCTGGTCCGACAGGTAGAAGGCCGGTACCTGGAAGCTCTCAAACATCATCTCGGCCATCTTCTCTCTGTTCTCCCTGGGGTTGAGGGAGGGCTCCGTCATGAGCACCGGGCGGTCGCTTGGCTTCACACCCAGCTCCCACTCGAAGAGGTGCTTCCACAGCTTCTCCATGTCCTCCCACCCCGTGATCAGGCCCCGCTGGATGGGCCGGTGCAGGTGCAGGGCCTCCTGCTTGTACAGGGCTTCCTCCCCGACGAAGTACTTCTTCTGGTGGGCCTCCGTGGAGGGCATCTTGAACTTGGGGTGTCCCACGACGGAGCTGATAACATGGCGAGGCCCGATCTCTCCCGACAGCCCCGCTTTGCAGAGTCCAGACCCGTTGTCGAAAATCACCGCCGGAGAATCTAATACGTGTGGGTTAAACATGTCTGCAGCATTCTCTTCTGAACGTCACCAAAATAAAGATGGGCCTTCTCTGGTCACTGTGTGTCACGGATTCCACGGTTCCTGGAGGCCGAAGTGGGGGCAGGGGCGCGGGGTGCTCCCAGGCAGGGCTGGCAGGCGGGCTGTCTCCAGCGCCTTCCTAGGAGGCCTCCATGCTCCTCCTGGCTCTTCTCCTCTCAGAGGGCTCCAGCCCGCAGGGCCTTTTGTAGGGTGACTGGCCCGCAGGTAACAATCTTGCCAAGGTAACCATTGTTCTCACAGCTCTTGGGGGCGGGGCTCTGGGCCCCTGGTCTTCCTGTAGGGTGCTAAGGGGAGGAAGCCCCCCAGTGGTGCTCATAAGCCTGTGATCTCACCTGAGAACTACCAGGCCAGGTTCTGAGCCCCTCTCTGGGCCCTGAGCCTCACTGTGTGAAATGACAGCATTTCCTGTCACCCCTTGGGTGCCCCCCCTCCCCGAGCCCTGTTTGGAGAGGTGACTTCCACTAGGCACTCAGAACATTTTATTTTGTTCAGACTCCTCCAGGAAGCCCTGGGTGATTTCTCCTCCTTCGCTCTTATCGGCTCTTGTTCCCTGTCCAGAGAACAGAGCCTCCTGAACTGGTGAATCTATCAGACGCGCACCTGCCTCCTCTGGCCTCGGTCAGGGTCCTCTCTAGACGCTGAGGTGTTGGCTCAGACCCACACCCCACAGCCCTCAGCGCTGGGAACCCAGCAGCTGGCTCAGGAAGATGCAGACCCCACCAGATCCGGGGCGAGGCGCAGTCAGACAAAGCTAGATGAGGCTCGTGCAGGAATGACCAGCCGTGGAGGGTTGACGCACAAGACCGTGGCGCCGCGGCCGGGATGGTGGTGCTGGCCGTGCCCCTGGGAGGGCCACAGCAGTGCTCGCTGGATGCTGAGCCCTGGCTGGCGTTCACATTGGGAAGCCTGGGCGTGGAGTGGCAGCTTCCCCGGGGTCTCCCCATCCCTTCCTGCACACAGTCAGGCACAAACTAGATTCTCTCTCCATCTGGAAAGGTCTGCTGACTCTCAGTCTGCTGGTGCTCAGGACCTGTGGCAGACCCCGGAGCAGGAGGCACTTAGAGAGGTGGCTGTGCACATTGAGGCCACACGCTGGTGTCCTGCTTAATATCGCCTGGATCCCTGGGGTCTGACACCCACTGCCAGAGGGCGGCTCAGCCCCCAGCCCGTGCTGGTGGCTGTGGTGACAGGTGGGCACCGTGCTGATCCAGGTTGGTGACCCAGCCTTCCGGGACACTGGGCTCAGTGGGGCAGTCCCGGCCTTGGAGGGGCCCCCTGTGCCCACAAAACCCATCGGGGCCTCTTATCTATGCAACCCCGATCCTCCATGGCCTGTTTGTGCCATCATCAGCATTTGTGGAGGGTCTGCTGAGACTGGGGGGGGGCTCTGACATTTAGGGGCATTGTCCCTGGGGAGCTGCTGTGGAGGAGGGGGAGGCAGAGGGCGGCGACAGCGTTCCTGGCTGCTCACGTCACAAAGGAGCTGTGTGTGAGCTCAGTTCTCGAGGTTGCTCAGCCCTTCGGGGGCTGTGCTCTGAAGACGTCTAGATTCAGACAGAACGTGGTTCCCGGCGGGAGGGGCAGAGGGCCCTTCTGGTGAGGTGCGTGGCCCTCTCCTGGTGGCCCTGGGCACTTGTACCAAGGACAGAGAGGGAGAGGGTTTAGACGCACCCCAACAATCAAGGCCGTCCTAGACCCTGGAGTGCTAGGTCCCTGGCAGTGTGGGCCCAGGGGAGCGGCCAGGGGGCAGAGCGGCCCACGCCCACCCCAAGCGTGGGCCTTGCCCAGGCACCACAGGGGGCTCTAGGAGGTTAGGGACAAGAGTGGAGCTCAGAGCCCACGGGGCAAGGCCAGCCCAGAGCCTGGTGCCCAGAGCCCGTGCAGGCCCTGCGGACACTCCGTCTTAACCATGAGGGTCCAATCGGGTGATGGGTTGTCCACCATGTAATCGGGGCAGGGAGCAGGAAGGGCTCTGAGGACCCCCCTCCCACCCTACCCCACCCCTGCCCTTCCAGGAAGACGAGAATGTCCGTCCCCTGAGAGCAGGGTCACATGGCCTCGGAGATCACCGAGTGGGTTTATGAGCCACAGCCAACGTGATGTTGGGCTGGTTTTGTGTTCCCCTGGGGCAGGTTTTCCACCCCATGCGTCTCAGGTGCTGGAAACTTCCCAGGCCTCTTTGGGGTCCTTGGTGTGGGACTCTGACTCCTGAGGTCTGTGGCTCTCAAAGGTGGCCACGCGTGGCTCCGTGCAGCGGAGACCCACAGGTGTCCGTGTCCCCGTAGGGATGAGACAGTGGCAGGACAGAAACCCTTGGTAGCTGGCCAGCTGTGCAGCTTCAGGGAGCAGACGCAGCCAGGGTGTTTACCATTAACACAGGGACCTTTCCTCTCCCAGCTCCAATTAGAAGCCGTCCTGGTCTGCCCGCCCCCACTCCAAACCAGCCAAGCCTCATAAATCGCTTGAACAAGTTTATGGGTGAACTGGCTATAACTTCGTCCTCCCCCCCGCCCAGGCAGGCGGGCAGGGCTCGCCGTGATTCTCCTGGAGGGCCGGCAGCTTCCGCTCCATGCAAGAAGGTGCACTCCTATTTCCACTCCAGTGCTCAGCCCCCCCAGCAGCTCCGACCCACTCCTGCGCCCTTAGAGGTGCACCAAAGGCCCCGTGGGAGCTGGGGCAGGCCCCAGGACCCTTGGAAACATGCCAGCCATTCAGACTTAGGAGTAGGTTGGCCTGGTGAGTTCGCCCCTGCTTCCTCCTGGCCTGGTTCCCCCAGGCCCCAGGGAAGGCCTGTGTCTCTCCCACTGTCCCTGTTCCCAGCTGTCACTGATGCCCAGAGCCTCAGCCAATTAGTGACCAGCAGACCGGGCTCATTAGTGCTGCCCACATCTGGTGGCCAGATCCTCCTGCCGCGGACCTGCACGCCAGGGGCGCGGCCCAGAGCAGAGCAGGCCTTCAGTCGGGTGGCACACTGTCTTGTAAGGGACAGGATGGGGTGTGTGTGTGAGCAGACTGGCAGGGTCTCTGTGGCCATGAGTATTCAGCTTGTGATAACCTCTCTTCTCCCGCTCTGCCCTGCCACCTCAAAGGCTGAACCATGCACCCTGCCAGCTGAGCCCTGTTGAATCCCTGAGATAGAATTGGTATCGTCCATCCATCCATCCACCCATCCATCCATCCACCTATCCACCTATCCACCCATCTCATGATCCATCCATCCATATACTCACCTGTAACTCATCTGTTCCTGGACTCATTCACCCAGCCACCCACACATTCATTCAAACAACTTTGTATGCACCATCCACCCATTTTCCCATTGATTTGTCCATTCATATATCCTTCCTTCCCTCCTATTTTTCCATCCAGTTGTCAATAGATCTATCCATCTACCCATCATACACCCATCCACCCATCCATCCACCCATCCACTCATCCAACCATCCATCCATCCACCCATCCACCCATCCATCCACCCATCTACCCATCCACCCATCCACCCATCCATCCACCCATCCATCCATCCATCCATCCATCCATCCATCCATCCATCCATCCACCCATCCATCCACCCATCCACCCATCCATCCATCCACCCATCCATCCATCCACCTATCCACTCATCCATCCATCCGTCCATCCATCCATCCATCCACCCATCCATCCACCCATCCATCCATCCATCCACCCATCCATCCACCCATCCACCCATCCATCCATCCACCCATCCATCCACCTATCCACTCATCCATCCACCTATCCATCCATCCACCCATCCATCCATCCATCCATCCATCCATCCATCCATCCACCCATCCATCCACCCATCCATCCACCTATCCACTCATCCATCTACCCACCCATCCATCCATCCATCCACCCATCCATCCATCCATCCACCCATCCACCCATCCATCCACCTATCCACTCATCCATCCATCCGTCCATCCATCCATCCATCCATCCATCCATCTATCCACCCATTCATCTGTCCATCCGTCCATCCCCCCAGCAATAGTCTACCCAACGATATCCTTCCATATGCTTCCTCATTTTCCTCCTTCCTTTCTCCTCTGTCCCTCTAGAGTGGTCCTCCCTTCTGCCACTCAGCACTTGCCAGCCCAGCACTCTAGAGCCCTCGCTGGGTCAGACATGGCCCTCAGGCTGGATCCCTGAACCGGTCTGGGTGGAACCAGCCTGGCTGCCTCTACACACAGTCAGCCTCCATGGACAGAATAAAGGACTTGGCCAGCAGGCCCTGAGAACACAGGAGGCCTTGGTGAAGCTGTCTATGGTTCCTTTGTGGGCAAAGGGAGGCAGGTTGACTTCAGGAGGGGCAGTCTGAGGCCAGCATTCCCCTCCTCTGGGCACAGGGTGGATTCTACGCAGAGAGCAGCTCTCCTCTGCTAGGCTTGCAAGCCCTCAGAATCAGAGCTGTGGTCCAGGTTCTTGCTTAACCGTCCCCTCGTGGGCCAATTCTGACCGGAGGATGTGGGAATCAGAGCCACCCACTTCCCTGGCCACAGACAGCTTCTTGATGTCCTCTCTCCTCTCCCAAGGATCTGACACCCTATATGGGGAGAAGGAAAGTCCAACTACTTCTCTGGGCTCTGAGTGAAAAAGGATGAGAGGGGTCACTGACCTGCTGCGTGAGCTCCGGCAGCCATTGCACAAAGACCACAGACCAGAAGATGGGAACAGCAGGATTCATTGTCCGTCCACCTGGAGGCCAGAAGTTTAGAGCCAAGATGTGGGCAGAGTGTGTTCCCACTAAGGCTCTGGGCCAGGGCTGGCTCCCAGAGCCTGGAAGTTCATTGGCTTGTGACCCTGTCATTCATCTTTGCTGGGAGATCTTCCTTTGCATGGCCCTCTTTTCCTAGGAACTCCACATCTGGAATTGGGGGCCTCATCCTACCTCAGTCGCCTGCAGAGGCCTGATTTCCAAATAAGGCGACAGGTAC